GATGCCATCAATGTTTCTTTGAATTGCTCTTTGCTCTCCAATTAAACAGAAAAAACAGTTTTTAAAAAGATGATCTACTACTCTACTCTGGTCACTACACCCACGACTTTAAGTAGTTTTCTACCTGAACTTGTCCTCAGAGTACCAGAGGCTCATGAAATGCTCTCTGAAATATCGCATGCGCATCCTCCTGGCTGGACCGGGCCAAGCCTCAGCTGGGAATGCCTGCGCCTCCACCCTTTGTCCAGCCGAACTGTCTCCTCTGACCCCGAACGGAGCCTGAGCCAGCTCCTGGCCCTAACGCGGTCCCTCCTGGAGGGAGAGCAGCCGCGGGCTCCCGACCCCAGGACCTGGAGGCCTGATGGCTGGACTGGACCCCAACCTGGACCTGGCACGTTTTTTGCTCCAGCCTGGGGGCTCGCCTGCACTTGGGGAGCTTACCCTCTTGTCCCCACCCCCTTCCCCAGCGTCAGTCAGCTCAGCAAGCCCCGCCCCTCTCACCCCAATCACTGCTCAACCATACCTCGTTCAGTCTCCTAGACCCCTTAGGGTGAGAGACTTCGTGTCCACTACCTTCTAAACCAGACCTGGACATTACAGGTGGGGAAGAGCAAGGCAGCGCCCCCCGCTGTCCCACTCGGAGGTGTTCTTACCCGCCAGTCCGGGTCTGTCTCCTTTCCCAGTTGCCCAGAGCTGTTACCCTCATACCAGTAGCCCGGGCTCCTCGAGGCAACCTCGTGTCATGGGATCCCCCCTCCTTCCTTGCTCCCTCTTCTCTCCTCAGGCCAGAGGTGCCCCAATGCTCCTGCCAGCCTGGCAGGAAGGGAGACTGGCAGCTCAGAGGACCACACTGGGGACCTTTGCTTTCTCTCTCGTCATCCCTGAGCTAGTCTAGCGCTGTCTGCCCCGCACACTGCCACCTCTCACACGCCTGCCTCCCACTCAGACCACCTAAATGCCCTCGGTCGCCTCTGGCACGGCTGCGGCCTCAGCCCATGTCGGCATGGGCTCCACCTCAGGCATCTACGCCTTTGTCCAGTCTCTCTCCCCTGGCACCCCGGTGTCTCCCCAGAGAGGAAGCTGCCTGGAGGCTCAGCCAGGGCCTCCCAGTCCTGTGGCGTGGGCTTGGCCGCCCTGGCCCATCCTGTCTGAGACCTGCCTCTCTGGGTATGACATGTCCTTTCTGTCCTCACCCCCAGATGCATGCAGAGGCAGTGTAGTAGACCTGCATGAATTCTGGGCAAACTACTTGGCTTTTTCATCAAGACAAATCCCTTGATTTAATTGTGCCTCATCTGTAAAATGGGAGATAAGAATACTACCTACCTCATAGGATTGCTGTGAGGATTGAATGAAGTGATATCTATAAGGCAGTGGTTCTCAACCTTCCTAATCTTTAAATACAGTTCATCATGTTGTGACCCAACCATAAAATTATTTTCGTTGCTACTTCATGTTGCTACTGTTACTTCATAACTGTCATGTTGCTGATGTTAGGAATCGTCATGTAAATATCTGATATGCAGGATGTATTTTCATTGTTACAAACTGAACATAATTAAAGCATAGTGATTAATCACAAAAACAATACGTAATTATATATGTGTTTTCCGATGGTCTTAGGCGACCCCTGTGAAAGGGTCGTTCGACCCCCAAAGGGGTCGCAACCCACAGGTTGAGAACCGCTGCTATAAGGGACTTAGAACAGTGTCTGGGACCCAGCCTGTGCCACGTTCCAGCAGGAGGCCCATCCCCCAAGTGACCATGCCCTGTGAGTTGCTGCCTCATTTTTGGGAGATAAGGTTACACCCTAAGGCAATCCCGAGCCAGAAAAAAATGCCTAGAACTGGATTCAAGAATCAGGGGCTCCTTTCCAAGTCTGAAACCCTCTGACTGAAGTTCCAGGCCCCCCATCTCCGCCTAACTCACTTCCTCTGCTCTCTCCATGCTGGCCAGGGCTGCACTGGCTTCTCGAGCAGGTTCCCAGATGTGCCCGAAAGGACATAACCTTCCAGGGCCCTGTCCTCACTGAACACATCTACCTCCACTAACTTTTCCTACACCGAATCCCTTGCGCCCCATTGTGAGAACTGGCATTTGTGAAAGTGGAAGCAGGTGCCCTGGCCGGGTGGCTCAGTTGGTTGGAGTGCTGTCCCCCCACACACCAAAAGGTTGTGGGTTTGCTTCCTGGTCAGGGCACATACCTAGGTTGTGGGTTCGATCCCTGGTGGGGATGTGTACAAGAGGCAACAGGTCGATGTCTCTCTCTCACATTGATGTCTCTCTCTTTTCCTCTCTCCCTCCATTTTTCTCTCTCTAAAATCAATAAAAACATATCCTTGGGTTAGGATTAAAATTTTTAAAAAGGGGAAGGCAGGCTATATAGGAAGACGCTGGCTTCGTCTTGGCCTCCGAAGACCTGGACTCCAGTCCTAGCTTTGCCTGATATTGTGACCCTGGGCAAATCCATTTGCCTCTCTGGGCCTGTTTTCTCATCCACAGGAGGGGTTCCAGGCCCACACTACACAGACACACGCTAATCCACCCTGATCAGTAGCTTTTTGTGTGCCATAGGCTACTTTGGCAGTTGGTGAAGCCTGCAGGCCCTTCTCAGGATCTTGTTTTTAAATGTACAATAAAATACATAATTCAATGGGGGGGGGATGAGGACACATTTGTAATACCTTAACTAATAAAGAATTAAAAAAATACATAATTCAAAAGGAGCAAATTATATTGAGATGTGATTCTGTCGTGGTCCTCTAGTTAACAACCCATGCATGGTTTCTCTCAAACAGAGGTTCCCCTTACACTCTGCTCCCCGCCCCTCTCCAAAATGAGTAACAATTTGTCCGTGCCCGTTTTGCAGCTCATCTACACTAACACGCTCTCATGACTTACGCTCTGTGGACATAATTCAAAAGGAGCAAATTATATTGAGATGTGATTCTGTCGTGGTCCTCTAGTTAACAACCCATGCATGGTTTCTCTCAAACAGAGGTTCCCCTTACACTCTGCTCCCCGCCCCTCTCCAAAATGAGTAACAATTTGTCCGTGCCCGTTTTGCAGCTCATCTACACTAACACGCTCTCATGACTTACGCTCTGTGGAGTGACTTTCTGCAAGTCACCTGGCGCTTCATTTTATCGTTGCTGTGCTTGTCTGTGCTACTAACTGGCTGTGCCAGTGACTCACGGCCAGCGCTGGGGACGGGAGCTGAAGTGAAGAGAACCATTCAGAGGCAGGGAGCAAGAGAGGAGTGAGTCAGGCCTGCAGGGTGGTGTCCTGACCTTGGCACACAGTAGGGGCTCAATAAATAACTGCTGGGTGAGTGACAGAGAAGGTTGTCACTTGATGAAAGGTCCCACTGTTCCCCTGCACACTGGCAGCGCAGTGTATACAGTGGCAGGCGTCCTCGTGCATTTATCAAAGTAAGCCTGCGTTAATGGACTCATTGAAGATCAGCTTTTTTTTTTCCCTTCAAGAATTCCATTCGCATTCCGACCCTTGGAGATTACCCACTCAGGTGGGGAGACAGAAGGAAACAGGCCTGCCTGAGGTCCACAAGTGAGGCGACAGCCAGCTAAGTCACAATGAATTCGTTGAGTAATTTTGGTAAAATATTTGGCTGGCGAGGTGGTCTGGCACAGCCTTCATCCCCTTCACAGCCTCCTCCGGGAGACCCCAGCTGGTGTTTGGAAGCCAGGCTCAGGCTCCACCCCCGGCCGGACCCCGCCCCTCGGCGGAACACCGCCTTTCCAGTGAGGACCCTCCCGGGGTTCGCCCCCGCTGGGCCCTGACCCCGCCCCCGGGCCAGCTTCCTGGGTATAGCTCTGCCTCCACCCCATCCCCTGCCCAGGCCCGGCTCCTCCCTGTCCCCACCTCTTTGGCTCTGGCTGTGCCCTCGATCCGCTTTCTGGCCTCTGGTTTTCGTCACTTCTCCGCTTCCTCCTCCGGGGCGCCCCGCTCCCGGGGTTCTAGCTCCTCCTCTGCCCGCCCGGATTCCGCTCTCGCCCCACCTCCAGGGGCTATCGGCCCCGCCCCTTTCGGCCCAGATTTCCCTCTCGCCCCGCCTCTAGGCCGGAGGCCCCGCCCCTCCAGCCAGGTTGTAGCCCCGCCCCCTCCTAGTCTCCGCCCCCTGCTCCCGCCTCCTTAGGCGCCCGGAGACTAGTGCATTGTCCCGGGCCAGGCTCGGCGGGCGGCAAGGCCACTGCGGCGCATCATGCAGTTTCCGCGGGGCCGGAGCCACTCCAGAGAGCTCTACCTGCAGGAGCAGAGCCTCAAGGTGGCGGCGCTCAATGGGCAGAGGCTGGGTAAGGGTCGCAGGGAACACCGACGTCTGTGGAGACTGGGAGGCAGCTGGGGCAGGAGGCGGACTAGATGTTCCTTTGATTGGACCTGTTTAGTATCCCTGGGAGTGTGTGACCTATTGTGGGGCCGTGTCTGCAGGGGTGGCATGTGGGGTGAGTCCTGGGGGCATTGGTTACCCCTCCTCCTGACACACCCCAGCTCCTCCAAGCCTCCCTGCTCCTTGTCACCCCTCCCTCCCTCCCTGTTTATAGATTTATGAGGCTCCACTGGGTATGTGGCCTGGTGCCGAGCTGGTGTGACTGTCATGCTGTGAGATGATCTGCAAGAGTGTGTGGTCCGATGTGATGCTGTGCTGTGTGCACTATGGGTGACAGATGTGACAGGGGGTGATCCAGGCGACTGAGAGATTCTATCACTTTGCGTTATTATGCAGGTTTTGTGGGCTTTCTGACATTACTACCTGTGCCAGTGTACCCCTGAGTGGTGGCTGCACCTGGTAATGTTTCCTATCATGGACCCTTGGGCAGGCTTCTGAGTCCTGACTCCACCATGTAACTTCCCTGAGCCTCAATTTCCTCATCTGCGAAATTGGAATAGTGATAGTGCCTCCCTCATAGGGTTGTTAGGGAGGTTAAATACATGCGCTAAGAGCAGTATCTTATTCGAATACTAGCCATTATTATGGTGGATGCTGTTATTATCATGATGATGATGATAAGGCACTGTACGTTGTGTGGCTGTGTGTGACTCCGTGTAACAATGTACATCACTGTGTGACCTGACCTCAGTATTGCTATGTATTATTATGAGTCCCAAGCCCAGTTTGTCTCTATTATGCACCCCACTAGGTACAAGGTCAGGACTCCTGGGACCCCCTTCCCCCCAGCCTCCTATTAGTGCCTACAGCACCCTCTCCTGGGCACTTCGTGGCGTGCAGCGGGCCTGGGCAGGTCAGTGAGGCTGCAAGGTCTGCCCGGGACCCTTGAGCTCAGACGCCTCTCCCCTCACCCCCACAGGAGAAGGCAGTAGAGCTAAGTGAACGGGGCTGGGTGAGGAGTGCCCACACTTTCTGGGTGGTGGGGCGGGCAGCCCAGGAGCCTCGGAAACAAAGGGCCTCCAGGAGGCTCAGAGGTGGAGGTGCCTGCCCAGGTTTCCCAGCGGCCGGCCGAGAGGGCAGTGTTATCAACTCGGACCTTGGAGTTTCCCAGCAGCCGAGAGGGCAGTGTTATCAACTCGGACCTTGGGACGGAGGTCTGTGTTTGGAAGTCACGTCGGCAGCCAGGGGGCTTATCTCTGTCCGACTGCAGACAGGGCCACAGCCTGGCTCCGGGACAGGATGAATATGTCATCTCCTCACAGTGTTTTCCAGAGCTGGAGGGTGGAGCTCACCTCCTCCTTTCCCACCCCCTCCCCCACAGTCCCACCGGTGCCGTGGGCAGGGGCTGGTCCTCCTGTGTGCCCAGCTTGGGGGTGGGTGCGGACTGTGGGATCCCCGGCAGGCGCTGAGGTGCCTAGTCTGGCAACCTGGGGGCTCCCCTCCCCTTCCTCTGGCTGTGAGCTCCACAGACACCACCGGCAGTTTAGGAGCCCCCTTCTCCACTGGGCTTCCCCTGGGGCCGAAGGGGAACTGCTCCCACCGAGGCAGAGGGGTCTCCTGGGGTGGAGAGACTTGGGACAAAGGTGGGGGAAGGTCACATCAGAAGATCACCTCTGAGAAGGCTCCGAGGCGCCTCCTCCAACACTGCACTGGCCCAGCGCTGAGGGGACCAGAGGCACAGATTGGGAAGGGAGGTGCCCAAAGTGATAGGGGGGCGGGTGTTAGCCCTGGACTTTGTCCCCCGCGGGAGGCAGGAGCCTGGCAAGGGGAAAAGAGGATGTGGTGACGGAGGCTTACGTCCAGAAAGTTCTGTGGGTCCGGTGGGTGTGTGGGCCTGGCTAGGGAGCGGGGAGGCCAGGACAAGGTGGGAGAGGCTGTGAGGGGCTGGGAATCTGGGCTCAGAAAAGAAAGGCCTCCACGCCTAGGCACAGGCCCCACAGACGGGACCCACCCGGTCCCTGCCGGAGCAGAGGAGAAAGACGGCTATGGCCACACAGTTTTAATATTGGTGACAGGCATGAGGCGAAATGGCCAATGGGCTCTGAACAGAGCTGGCTGCTGGACTGCCTGTGGCTAGGGTGATATATACAGATATAGATATATATAGATATAGATACAGATGTAGGTTGATACATACAGATACAGATCTACAGATACAGATATAGGTTGGTACATACAGATACAGATCTATAGATACAGATATAGGGTGATATGTCCAGGCACAGCTATAGATGTATCTCACTCTATGTTACAATGATAGGTTATTAGAGTTGGGGTCTCTCCTTGATCACACTTGGTACAGGGTCTGCTGGGGGTGAGGGCTCCTGGGGAGCCGGGTATAGTTTCCCTTTGGTGCCTCTTGCTCAGGCCTGGTGGGACAAACGGCATTGTAGCTTTGGGAGCCCATGCCTCAGGCCAGCCTGGGTCTCCGAGAGCAGCAAGAGGGTGCCAAGCAGCCAGGGCTCTGGTCCTCGCTGTGGGACTGGGGCTGGCTCCAGCGTCTGAAAGGACTGCACTGTGACTTAAGGGCGCTGTACCAGGAGGCGTCCTGGACCCAGGATATTCAGTGATGGGGCGGCCATGGAGGGACAGGGGCACCTCTCTCTTCTGGGACAAGGATCAAGACCCACTCAAGTAGGTCCAAGTCAGGGGTGGCGATCATGGTGAGGGTGGCAGAGATGGGCACAAGGGCCCCAGAGTAACTACAATGTTGACATTAAGAACTAGAACGGCTTTACCTCGGGACCTTCCCAGAATCGTGCATCATCTCATTTAACCTCAGCCCTTCCCTTTGAGGAGGCTGCTATTTCTATCCTCAGTTTACAGACGGGACAGTCCACCTCGTCCTTCAGAGCCAGGCTACTTCCTGGGGGGGCTGGTTCCCCAGGGACCAGGAGTCCTTAGATTAGCTGCCCTCCCTTTGTCCATTCAGCTGTGGGTGGCAGGTCAGTGTATGAAGCGTGGCCTTGAGTGGGTAGGCATCCAAGGTTTACACGCCCTCAGCTGGCTCAGCGATGACTTCGTGTGAGGCAGGGCAGGTTGGAGCATGGCTGAAGGAGGGAGACGTGAACAGAGAGATGGGGACGAGGCTGCGGAGAAGCGGGCTCCTAGAGCAGTGATGGCGAACCTATGACACGCGTGTCAGAGGTGACAGGTGAACTCATTTTTTTGGTTGATTTTTCTTTGTTAAATGGCATTTAAATGTGTAAAATAATTATCAAAAATATAAGTCTTTGTTTTACTATGGTTGCAAATATCAAAAAATTTCTAGATGTGACACGGCACCAGAGTTAAGTTAGGGTTTTTCAAAATGCTGACACGCTGAGCTCAAAAGGTTCGCCATCACTGTCCTAGAGGGCCTGGAGGTGGGCGTGGCCAGCATGGGGTCTGGGACAGCAGGGACACCGGAGGAGGTGGCATCTTACGAGCTCTGCCCTCTAGGCCTGCAGAATGACGAGGACCTACAGGCGCTGCTGAAGGGCACCCAGCTCCTGAAGGTCAAGTCCAACTCATGGCGGCGAGAGCGCTTCTACAAGCTGCAGGAAGACTGCAAGACCATCTGGCAGGAGTCCCGCAAGGTCATGCGGAGCCCGGAGTCCCAGCTCTGTGAGTGCCTGGGGCTGTGGGGGAGGAGGCAGAGTGTGCCACCCATGCTTGAGTGGGGACACTGGTGCTGGCTGGGGGTGGAGGTCCATCATGGACCAGGTCCACAGATAGGGAAACTGAGTCCCAGCCCGGCGGGGTATAGGTCAGGCATGCAATCAGGACCAGATAGGGGGGCACTGCAGCTAGCCAGAGTCTGGGGGAGGGGGCAGTTAAAATTGAGCTCTGGGTGGGGCTGGAGCGCGCAGGACTCAGGACTGCAGACGGAGATGCTAAAGGCTTCTGGGCGTGAGGGGCATGTAACCATGACCACAGGTGGGGAAAGCAGGTTCGGAGGAGGGAGGGAGCTGGATAGCGCTGTGTGAACGCGTAGGTATCTGCCCAGGCCCTTGTGGGGAGCAGGGAAGTTGGGCGACTAGACTCCTGGTGTGGTGAGGCCAAAGCCAGCCCAAAGTTGGGGCAGATAAATCCTGGTCAGGACATAAGGTGGGGTCCTTCCCTAGGACTGGGGCCAGAGCAGGGAGATGGGGCAGAGCGGGGTTAGGACACAAAGAGAGAGGCCTCAGCAGGGTAGCTCCCTCGAGGGCAGGGGTCCGAGGGCTTTCCAGAAGCTTCGGAAATGGCCCAGGAACCCAAGGCTCAGGCCTGCAAATGGAGAGTGTCCCCTACCAGGCCTTAGGGGGAAACTCTGATGACGGCTTAACACAGACTGCCCCCGAGGCTTTGTCACATGCGAGGTCTACGCTGCATCTCTACTTGGTGGGAAAACTGCAGACCAAGGCTGTCTGTCACGGCTGCCACTAGCCACCTGTGGTCACGGAGCACTTGAAACTCGGCTAGTGTGACTGAGGAACGGTACTTAACTTGGTCGGATTTTAATGAATTTCTACTTAAATGACCACATGCGGTTGGTGGCTGCTCTGTGGGCCAGTGCAGCTGGGTCTCTCACAGCCCAGACCTCAGGAAATCCCTCGCCCATTCCCCTCCCTTCGGCCGTTTGGGGACAGGCAGGGTCAGCACACAGGCAGGCCTATAGGGAATGAGGTCAGACACAGTGACAGGCCCAGGCAGTAGGAGGGTCACAGGAGGAAGGGGAGGGTCAGCCCACAGAAGGGACCCCAGGAAGGGTCTGCCAGGCCTCAGGACCCTGGGCAGAAACATAAGAAGGTATGGCCTGCTGACCTGTGGCCTCAGGGGCCAGAGGTGAGGCAGGACAGGAGCAGGGGCAGATGCGGGGAGCTGGGCTGGGGCCTTGGGGCTGTGGGCCAGGGCAGGGTCCGAGGGGATGGAGACTGAAGCTCTCAGAAAACCACCCTCAGGGCACATCTGCCGCAGCGCGGCTGGAGTGACCCTGACCTTGCCTCTGGGGCACCAGCCAGGCTTCTTCACAGGCCTCTGCCCTGATATGGAGTTTCCCGCTACACGCTGGTGGGTGGCGCGCCGGGAACGGGCATCTTATGCTCTGAGCCCTGGGGCTTCCTGGGAGCCCAGCAGCCAGTCCATATGAATGGTTCCCAGTGCGTGCCTCCCACCTGTGGGGCTGGGGGTGGGGGCGGCAGCGGAGTAGAGGCTCAGGCCTTTCCAGACCTGCCCTGGGGAGGTGAGACCCTCACACTGGGACGGCGATGAGCAGAGGGCAGGATAGACTTCCAGGCAGGAGACCCCATGTGAGCAAGAAGCAGGGCGAGACTGAGGACGGGACGTGAGTGAGGGGGCGGCAGGGGTGACAGGTCCAGGGCCGGGCGTCGGGTGTGGTCAGGTGAGGACAGTCGCCCAAGAGGCTCCCCTCCATGTCAGAGACACTGAGGCAGGCCTTGGGCTGTGCTTGCCTGTCGGCTGCTTCCCTGCCCTGAGGGTGAGACTGTTGTCCTCAGCGGTACTCTATCCTCAGGGAAACTGAGGCCAGGTGAGGGAGGAGTGGCTCCCCTCCCCCAGTTCTCTCTGCCTCTGCTCCCTGATCCCTAAGTCTCCCCTGATTCTGTCACCAATACCCCCCTCTTCCCCCCAACACACACACCACCCCACCCTGGTTCCCAGGGCAGACAGGCATTATCAGCAGTGGAGGCATCTGGACTTTCTCTCTGGAGTGGGTGGGGGTGCCGGCCTGGGAGCTCCAGGGCTCAGGCTTCCTGTTTGTACTCCAGCCTGGGTTGGGGGCAGCTGGTGTGGGGCCTGGCGGGGCACAGGAGGCTGTGGGCACAGGGATTAAGCAGAGATGTCCCCTGAGCCCTAGATGGCTCAGGGCTCACGTGTCCCACTTCCCAGAGCCTGCCGCCCGGGCTGGGCACATGGCACACACATGGGGCCTGCAGGTGGCTAGGAGACCCTGGGGTGCTCAGGGTGTGTGCGGGCACGGGGCGG